CTCTCTCTCTCTCTCTCTCTCTCTCTCTCTCTCTCTCTCTCTCTCTCTCTCTTTCTCTGTCTCCCATTTAATTACACTGCACCCGCGCCTCACGTACGTCACACGTTAGTGATTTTCGTTTCGGGTACAACTTGAAATCTTAAGTATTTAAATGTTTATTTTCGGGAACATAGTTGTGTTTGTATTACTATTTTCTGCTGAGGAAATTTCCGTACAAGCGCATCTGTGGGAGAACGTGATTCACGTTACGGGGTTTCGGGTTACGTACTATTTTTTCTGGAATATTAATGTATACCGCTAATACAAGTGAAACTCGCTGAAAAGCATAACGCAGAAATTAAAGTAGAAAGTAATTTTTTTAAAGTAGAAAGTTTTAGTAGATACGCAACGTTCATTATTCACCCCTGATTTTATTCATCCTGAATGACCACATATTCATTTTCATTTTCATGTATCATTTTTATGATACATGAAGTATAAACTTCACAAGAAACCATTAGCTGCGACGTGATACGAATTTATTACAAATCCGGGGATGCAACTTTACACAGAAGTTACTGAGCTCTCACAATGGCAACATTCAGCAAAATTGCATAATTCCGTTTCCGCAAAATCAGTTCATATTTTTACGCGCTTTATACGTATAGAAGGCGTTCACCTTACAGAATTGTACACTAATTTAGCAGCAGAGTTAACCACAATATAGTGACGTGAATGTTCTTACAGGTCCTTTGCATTCGTAAGGAATAAACACTTTAACAGTGACTCATTAATAAAACATACATAACGTACAAATATTCCCATACCATAATCCCAAATAAATACACAAGTGGAATAATATAGGATTCAAATTGTCATCGCTATATTAGTTTACTTAATCATGAAGGCAAAGTAGGAAAATTACAACACTACAAATTTACATAATTATACTGTGCACTCTGCTGTAGCATAAGTTTAAGCCTCGTGTGAACGCAGCTATTGTTTACATTTTATTGATTACACCAGACCGGTAATTTTCGGGAAGCTGGATTCGACTATTTTAAGTATCTGGGAACCGGTAAAACCAAGATAAACTTTTTGTTATTCAAGAATGGGAGTCAACCGGGACGGGGGAAAGCCAAAGTTGCGATTTTTATACAAATGAATGAAACTAAAACATGACAATTTTTACCTAGGAAACTGTCAATAGACCCCCGTTACCCTTCTTTACAATTAGGGTGTGGCATATTCAACAAATATATTAGACAACGAAATGTACTGCATATGAGTACAGAGTGCCTAATGTGCAAGTTATTGCCGATATTTCATTAGGATTAAGAAGTCGCCCTACATACGTACTAAAACTTCACATACTCGTGAAGCTGGCTTGGTGGCTAATTCTTTGGCAATGTTCAGCTTGGACTAAAAATAATCATATGTATACCAAAACTCCGCTTACGTTTGAAGTCTAGGTGACTATGAGCTACTAGTGTTAGACAGTAACGATGTACACTGCCAACCAAAACCTGATCGGTCAACTTGATGTGTCGTCTCGATCTGTTGACTTAATATGAAATATCTAATGTTTTAAGAAACTGTGGGTCTCCTGCTAAGAATGTAGAAAAAAATCAGCCTCATGTGATGACGTTAGCCTTTGCTACGCAGTTCCTTTTTACTCCACGACTGACCAGAACGCAACAAACAGATCTCTGCTTTCTTACAGTCACTGCCACAAACGTCCCTGTGTAGCTTGTAACTGTACCTACAAACAACCAAACAAACGTTCAGTGCGCAAAACGCAAGGGGAACTCAGTGGTATATTTATACATTTACAGCTGGAACATTTCAGCATGAACTTTCTCCCCAAGCATAATACCACGTGTAACTGGTTTATCGGCAGCAGGGATCACTATAGTATACATGCAGTTCACAGCTTATAATATAGCCTTCTAGGCAGCAACAAATGTACCTTTATACTGATGACAGCTTATATACTATGCCATCTGAACATCTGACGTTTTACATATAACCCCACAAACGTTTCATATATGCGAGTCAGCACCACAATCCATCCCAGCAAGATCCAATACTACTAGCACCATATAATTAAACTAATATATAGCTGTTATAATAATATATATATAATTATTCAAACTACAGAACTAATCATAAAACCAAATTATTATATCACAAACTGCGCACACGCACGCACGCACACACGCACTCACGCGCGCGCGCGTACACACACACACACACACACACACACACACACACACACACACAC